AGTCTTTGGATTTAAAAACAACTTCCCCAGAGAAGCTGGCTATAATGGAACTTCCAGAAAACTTTCAGAAAACTTCCTTTGCCCCCCCAAAGGACCTGAAAAGCCCCAATCCAAACATTTGAAAACTACAGTTATGAGATGCTAGAAATGATGATCAAAGCAGTCAGAGGGAGAAGGATGAATGTGTCTTCCATTCAGCTATAGTTTGTAGCATAGCCTCTTTAGCTGTTGGTGGATCAGTAAAAACCACTGAAGTAGCAGAAGTGCTTAGAAGGATAGGGGTAGAAAAGTACTGAACATATTACCTGTCTCTACAGGGCTTCATGGCTAGGAAAATTTTCTAAACAGTAAAATGACTCCAGGATAGATCTGATCTCTCGCTCCATCATTAAACGTGGCAGAATTAAAAAAAAAAAAATTTACAAGTAGATATAGTGAAAACAGAAAATTACAAGGCAGAGAACACAAAAGAATCAAGACAATGCTATAGGTTTAACAGTATTCCATGAGGCTAGAAAACCTGTTAACTTTGAAAGCCCTAGCAAAATACCACTCTTGTTTATAAATCACTTATTTATCATATGACCACATGTTGAATCCTTTCTTTCCACGTACTGAAGAATCCTACATTCAGCCTTTAAGCATTCTGCATTTCTTTGCCAATCTTGTAGCTGAGTATCTTGTTCCAGTCGATTTTGGTGCGCGTAACTGGAAGCTGCCGGCGCAAGGCCTTGAATGTGGTGTCTGACATTGTTTGATAGTTTTCACTAATTGCTGTCTGCAATAGACAATTGAAGATAAGTTGTTTGAACAGAAATGTGATGGCTGTAAACAGGAAACTAAGTCTGTAGTTAAAGGACATGCTTCAGACCCCTAAGAAGGACACATAGGACATAATATTTCCAGTAAGCTCCTCTCCAAACTCTAAAGTGGGTTAAAAAGCCCACCTATATTATTTCTAAAACTAGGGCTCTAGTCCCTTCCAAGGTTGAAACCTTGATTGTAAGCAGAATACCAAGTTACAAGGTCTACAAAATCTCCACACTTAGTAACATTGAACAACACATATATTTATGTTAAAAAGACACAGGGAAGTCTAATAAAATATGTTAACAGCAAAATAATGAAGTACTAGATCTAGAAAAACTACTTCCAAATCTTCTTACCTGATACTCATTTTCTGCATGTTCTATGATTTTAATAAACTCCTTGGCAGTTTGGACTTCATTCTAATGAAGGGAGGAGGAGGCGAAAATATGAACTTTTTAAAACGTGTAAGCAGTAAGTGAATAAAAAGATAGTGAAAAGTCCATCTTAACTGTCACTTGCATAACAATTTATAGTTTTTTCAAGTGTTCCCATGCACATTACCTTCTTTGATTCTCACAACAACGCCGTGAAGTAGATCTGTTATTATCATCACTCCATTTTGGAGATGAGAAAACAGAATCCTCTCAAGTGACTTGACCAAAAATATACAGCTTTTGAATGATACAGATGGAATCTGAATCCAGGTCTTTGCCAAAAAAAACCCATGCTCTTTCCAATCTACCACAGTATGCCCAAAACACATTATTATGATGTCTTGACATTTTTATGCCTCTATCTCTAGTTTAAGATGATATAAACAATGCCCTCAGACATATCAGTCAAGTATGTTAAGCTCATATACGCCTTTACTTGCTACTTATGATGTTAAACCAACCAATCACATTTTGTTGTACATGATTCAGGTACAAAACAAACTAAATCTCTCTCTTCCTTTCACCATTAAGTACAATAGAATTAAGAGGGTAAGATTTAATATCTAGAGCAGCAGTCCCAAGATTCTTTCAAATAGTCAAAACTATTTTCTACTTTCATAATAATACTAAGACAAAGTTACTTGCCTTTTTCACTCTTGCTCTCATGTGTGTACAATGCAGTTTCGTAGAAGCTACATGATATGTGATGACTTCTTCACTTTGAGAGCTAATGGAATGTGTGCAGCACATACGAGCGTCCAGTTGTCTTTTATTAAGTCAGACATTATTCAATTTGTGAAAAAGTAAATCAATGCCATTCTTTTCACTAATTTTTTTTTTTGGTTTGAAAAATATAGTTGTTTTTCATGAAAATGTTATTTAGGTTAACAAGTAATGGGTTTGTTATTGTTATTTTTTTAATTAATAAATATTTTTGATATTTCTCAGTTTTAATTTCTAATGTAAATATTGATAGATATAACACACCTAAAGAAAAGCTATTTGAGGGTGTTCAATAACTCCTAGGAATATAAAGAAGTACTAAGAATGCAAGAAAAATTATGTCCTTTCTTTCCTTTTTTTTAAATTTTATTTCTTTTTGTGAGGAAGATCAGCCCTGAGCTAACATCCATGCCAATCCTCCTCTTTTTGCTGAGGAAAACTGGCCCTGGGCGAATATCTGTACCCATCTTCCTCTACTTTATATGGGATGCCGCCACAGCATGGCCTGACAAGCAGCACATCGGTGCACGCCTGGGATCCACACCCGGGCCGTCAGCAGCGGAGCACGCGCATTTAACCACTACGCCACGGGGTCAGCCCATGTCCCTTCTTTCTAAGTATAGAACACAATACTTTTTGACTGAATACTCCTAAAGATGTTCAGTTGTTCTAATGATATGAATGTAGGTCCACAGGATTTAGCTTGGCAAACTTTCCTGCCTCCTGGTATTTAGTGATTGAAGATAGTGCTGTTTTTGAGTAAATCTCACAATTGAGAAAGAGAGAAAGAAGGCAGTTTAAGCTCTCTAAAGCCATTACCACTATTCTGAGTCAGACTGTGAACTAATATAGCTGGTTGGTTATAAACTCTTATAAACTGCCAAAATCAAAGCATTGAAAACAAAGTGAATTTCTAGCGGCAGAATCAGTATACTCAGGAGCAAAACTAATTTTTTAGGGCCGGCCCGGTGGCTTAGCGGTTGGGTGCATGCGCTCCGCTGCTGGTGGCCCAGGTTCGGATCCCCCGTGTGCACCGAGGCATCACTTCCCCGGCCATGCTGAGACCGCGTCGCACATACAGCAACTAGAAGGATGTGCAGCTATGATATACAACTATCTACTGGGGCTTTGGGGGGAAAAAAATAAATAAAATCTTTAAAAAAAAAACAAAAACTAATTTTTTATTTTTTTTTCATTTAATTTTTTTTTGTGAGGAAGATCAGCCCTGAGCTAACATCTATTGCCAACCCTCCTCTTTTAGCTGAGGAAGATTGGCCCTGGGCTAACATCTGTGCCTATCTTCCTCTACTTTATATGGGATGCTCCCACAGCATGGTTTGACAAGCGGTGCGTTGATGCACGCCCGGATCCGAACCCGTGAACCCCAGGCCACTGAAGCGGAGCACACACATTTAACCGCTGCGCCACCAGGCTGGCCCTCAAAACTAATTTTTTAAAGAAAAACAAGACACAAGTGAGACAAACATTAAATATTCCACACTTACCGAAACAGTTACTGAATCCTGTACATCTTTATGGCTAACCAACTGAACATTGCCATCTTCATAATAGTGAACCTGTGTGAGACAATGTTTGAGCAAGTTTATGTGTAGTTCACATAGAAATCTATTGCTTAGGCCACAAATCCACGCCTTGAGCCATCCCCAATCTTTACCAACTCTGAACGAATAATTAATATGACCAATGTTAATTTACAATGGTGGTTAAAATTCGCAGAACACTTAAAATTTAAAAATTCTCTCTTTCCTTAGCAGGGAAAACTAAATTATTAGTTAAGTTCAACAAACATTTATTATGTGCTTATTGCATTTCAGGCACTATGTCAGGCAGTGTGGAAACAAGGATCTTAAACAAGATTCCATTTTTAAAAAATTATTTATTTACTTATTTATTTTGTGAGGAAGATCAGCCCTGAGCTAACATCCGTGCCCATCTTCCTCCACTTTATGTGGGACGCTGCCATAGCATGGCCTGACAAGCGATGTGTCAGTGCGCACTCGGGATCCAAACCCAGGCCGCCAGCAGTGGAGTGCATGCACTTAACTGCTATGCCATGGGGCCGGCCCCAAGATTCCACTCTTAACAGTATGAAAATAATTAAAATCATTGAACATTAGTATGTCTCTGTGAAAACCAAAGAATTTTAATGAATCTTAGTCCCTTACACATCTCTCCATATACACTATCATCAATATTGATAAGTAGATCTGACTAGGTGCAGGAAAAGCTTAATGGAGGGTTACAGACAGGATTGAAAAACAAATATTCTACTGGCAAATTAGACTACAAAAATAAGTAAGACAAAAGCAGTTCTGAGGATATAAGGTAAAGTAGGGTGCTACAATTATGGAAACAATTAGCAAGGAGGGGTACAAAAGAGACAGACTAACCAACAAACCACACATAAGGCTCAGAAATTTTTGGCAACTTACGAGACAGGTTCAGTCACCTTAACATGGCTACAAACTGGTCATATAGAACAGGAGAGTATCCTTTTGTTAAGTGCATTTGAACGGGGTCTCGAAAATAGGAGCTGTCACCTAAGTGGACAAGGTAAAGAAGGGTATCTAGCAAGGGGATGAAATAAAAACACAAGAGAAGGGAGCACAACTGGTTTAGTTTAGGGAAGAAGAACTCACTGCAGATGAGTATGTGTGGAAGGGAGTGTGGCAGGAGGACATTGCTATGAAGTAAGCTGGAGAAAGACTGTGAAAAGCAAACTGCCTTATAAACCATGTTAAGAATTCAGACTTTTTCCTATTATAGGTGATGGGGACTCAGGGAAAAGGAATGTTTTAGAAAGACTACACTTGTGTTATGAAGAAACATAAGGGAGCTGAAATTGAGGGCATAAAGCTAGAACAGCAGTCCAGGTAATGCCTATTTCCTTTATCTAGTCCATACTACCAGGAAATATTTGAACAAAAAGGAATATTTTTAGAGATAGGGCAGAAAAGGAGAAGGAAGGAGCAATAACTTGTACCACTACAGCTATTATTTATTGAGTCCTTACTATTTGTTAGGCACTATGCAAACATTTTACTGATTACTTATATTATCTCGTTTAACCTTTATAAAAACTCTGAGATAGGGACTATTATTAATCCTATTTTACAGATGAGAAAACTGAGGCTTGAGGCAGTTTAATAATTTACCCATGTTCATATATCTAATAGGAGAAGGAGCTAGGATCTGAAATTAGGTCAAATTCCTAAACTAAAACCTTACTCAAAATGCATAATACCTCTCAATGCTATGTTTTGTCAAAAAGTTAGAAATTCCCTGATCCAGGCAGAAGTAAAGCATCTCATGAGGGACTTCTACTCTCCTAAGATATCATCAGAAGGGGGTAAAAACAGCCAAGCTTCACCTAGGCAGAAACCATGATCCTAATAGCAAAAAAAGGACTTACCTGGGCAAAATAAACCCACTACTTGGCTTGTTTAAGGGATAAAAATTGGTGTCTTCCTTAACGGGGACAAATAGCTGGCTCTGTCCAGATGAGCAAGAGAAGCCAGACTTTCTATACCCTCTCCAAACCTTAAATTTCATCTTTGGCTTTCTAAAAGAGGTTAAAGAGGGCCGGCCCTGTGGCTTGGTGGTTAAGTGCGCGCGCTGCGATGCTGGTGGCCCGGGTTCGGATCCCGGGTGCGCATCGAGGCACCACTTCTCCGTTCATCCTGAGGCCGAGTCCCACATACAGCAACTAGAAGGATGTGCAGCTACGACATACAACTATCCACTGGGGCTTTGGGGGGAAAAATAAGATAAATAAAATCTTTAAAAGAGGTTAAAGAGGAAAACACAATTTAACAATACACTGGAAAACTAGGGAGTTGATAAATGCCTGTGATACTTACATGCAAAAATCAGAACAGCAAAGATATGGGCAAAAAAGACTGGGCTAAATAATGATGACATACCACGGCTAAAATTCCAATAGACAAAGACAAAGATATTCAAAACACAGGTGGGTCACACTCAAACACTAGTTTCTTTTTTCCTTTTTGTGAGGAAGATCAGCCCTGAGCTAACATCCGATGCCAATCCTCCTCTTTTTGCTGAGGAAGATTGGCCCTGGGCTAACATCCATGCCCATCTTCCTCTACTTTATATGGGACGTCGCCACAGCATGGCTTGACAAGCGGTGCATCGGTCCATGCTTGGGATCCGAACCTGTGAACCCTGGGCAGCCAAAGCTGAGCACGTGAACTTAACCACTATGCCACCGGGCCAGCCCCAGTTCTGTTAGTTTTTTAACTAAAAAACTGGAAGTCCAGAGGTTGAAAAGAACACTAGGAAGAGGAGTACAAATAACGTGGAGGATGTTAAAAAAATGGAGATCTGTCCAGAGAAGGAACAAGAACTTGTGTATTTGAAACATATCTCAGAACCCATGCAGGGCACATCTTTTTTGTCCAAGAATAAAGACTATGCAATTGATTTGAACTTCTATCATGTTTCTTAAGAACTAGAACATGGATAGGAATATAGGGTAAGGCCAGTAAGTCTTGCAGCTTATGAACTCAATTGAAAATTCTAAAAATATCTATTTCAGTATCTAACACATTAATGAGAACTTAAGCTTAAACTCTACCTGTTTCAAAACAAAACTTTCTTTGGGGGGGTGAGGAGGGATCAAACCATTTTACTGAGGGGCTTAGGGGAGGAGTCAAAGGGCTGAGAGGACAATGAGATCTGATATTCTTGGCTTGGCTGGGATCTCACCAGCCTCACAGTCGCCAAAAGCAACAAAACCTTTTCTAGGTCTCATTTGCTAATAAAAATTTCAAGATGACTACCATCAACATAAATCCTCAGAAACTGCTGCCTTCCCAGAACTACCCTTTTGCCTATAGAATAACCAAAGGGCTAAATATTTTAATGACTTTTCCAAATAATTCTCACTCTGATTATTAAAAGATATGTAAATGAAGTAAGCCTTTCCCTAAAACATGATCAGACAATCTGTGGTTAAAAGGTGATAAATAAGGTCTGGGTACTGGGCTCTGTTATAAAAGTCTTATCAGAAACTGTCACTCTTTGTGATGTGTACTCTTAATTTATAGGTTTGCACTGGCAAAGCTGAAACACAAATAACTATTTCCTTCTAGAAGGAAAATAAATTTACTTACATAAACTTATAGTAAACTGCCAGGTTAACGCTGACACGATAGTTACCAGAGGTCTAAAGCATTAGGCTACTCACAGATACGACTAACAGAAATAGAACAGTATTTATCCTAGGTTGGGCTCCCCCAGAAGCAGACCCAGAGATAAAGATTTTAGAAGCAGACCCAGAGATAAAGATTTGAGAGGAAGTAGTTTATTTGGGAGGTAATCTCAGGAAGTACTAGTAAGGACTGAGGAAGTGAGACACAGAAGGGAAGGAAGCGCTATGGGTGCATTAAAGATCAGGTTACAACTGCGGGCACTGGACTCTGAAGACTAAACAGAACATGCTTCCCAGTTGTCCCATGTGAGGGGTGAGGAAGCTGGCATATCTATCTACCAACTCTTGTATGACAATAAGGGCTGCTCCAGAGCTGTGAACTTAACACTTCCAGCTTGCCTCATCTGAGTTGGGCATGCTCCAGTGGCTAGGAAAGGGGCACAGGAAGAGTTGCAGCTACTTGTACAGCAGGAAGCTATGGGTACACATGAAGAGTGGGTACAGACATCTATTACATATGTTTTGATTAAATTATACCACTAAAAAAGGCAACTCTTGCTAATTGTTATTAAAGCAAGACTTACCACAATATAATAGAGGTACAACTAGGTACTGATCTTCTCAGTTAACAGTAACTGTTTACTCTGACCTTAAGAGTTAGTTAGGCTTAAACATTAAATCACCCTGAATTTTGAAAGACAAGCCTCTGCTAGAATATCAGAAGACTTCAGTCCAGATAGGGATCAAATGAGTTAATAAACTCTTTATTCACCTTTCTGTCTGTCCTAACACCAGCATTAGAAATCTACTCTGCTTGGTTATTTATATTCCACAACGTGATGATACTTGGCCATTCTCTCTAGTTTCTGTTTTAGTCATTTGATTTTAAAACCTTCTGTCATTACTGTAACAAAACAAACAACAAACCCACTCATGTAGCTCCCTTCAGAGCCAGGACTTGTTTTATATACAGTCATGCGCTGCATAACAACATTTCAGTCAACGACGGACCGCATATACAGTGGTGGTCCCATAAGATTAGTATCATATAGCCTAGGTGTATAGTTGGCTATACCATCTGGGTTTGTGTAAGTACACTCTATGATGATCGTTCAACAATGACATTGCCTAACGATGCATTTCTCAGAACATATCCCCATTGTTAAGCAATGCATGGGGCTGCATATGCATATGTACACACTTACATGAAATAATATACGTGAAAGACCCTAAGTTACAGTAGCTGCTATATAGGCACTTCTTAATAATTATTTATTTTCTTCTTTCCTAGAACTAATGTTTGATAATTTCTGGAAAGATCTTAGGTTATCTTTGAAAGAGAAAAATAACAAGCAAGCAGTACACTCCACATCCTTTATCAACACAGAATAGCTCTCTCTGTTTAACTACTTTCCCAGGAAGGAGGTTATTTCTATTCACTACTATAGATCTCCCTTTGCATCTACATATAGTTGTTCCCTATTTCTAATACCAGAACAAATACCAACTTGCATGTTTCTTTTAAAGATATGACATTTTAACATGGCCTCTTAACATGCTGGGATCTCACCTGAATCTTAAGTACTCCAACCACCTGGGCTGTAGGTGGTGTGATAGTGAACTTCCACTCTGATCTCCAACGACCATTCCTATTAAAACATACACACACACATCACTGCAGAATTAGCAACAAGCATAAGAAAGAGGTGATTTCCCACTGAGGCAGAGAATTTAGGAAAGAGGGAAAAAAAGAAACAAGTCATTTCCAGTTTGACAAATCTAAAGTTCTTTCCACTCAAATGTAAGTTTGTATCCAAGTGGCCTAATCATAAGCCTTTTCTAAGTTATTTTAACTTTCATTTTTCATTTTTTTAATATTGGAGCAGAAAATCATGCCTATTCTGTTCATGGGAGGCTCCTCCATAAACAGATGGATGGGCAGCTCAGTTATGCAATTAAATCAAGTATTATTACCCAAACCCAAGTAAAACTCAGACTTTCAACTGGATGCTTTATTAATCACTTATTCTCACTCAATATGAGTACTTTTTAAAAAGATAGATTATAAAATGTTAGAATTGGAAGAAATCTAAATGATCACGTCTAAATCCCTCATTTTGCAGATGGGGACTGAAGCCTCTAAGTTAAATAACTTATCCCAAGCTAGTCAGATTAAAAACCAAGTCTCAACTGTTGGTTTGGTTTCTTTCCAATGTAAATTAGATACAAATAGAAGAGAACATCACTCTCTTACCAGAAGTTTTTAGGCTGAAACTGGTGGCTTTCAATACATGCAATAATGGTCTGTTGCCCGTCTATAGTTTTAGCATAAACCTATTGTTAAAAAAAAAAAGTTAGACTCTGAAAACATATTTAATCTAAATGATAAACACTGTACAAAAGCAGCGTGTTAAATCCTTGGGGGACACAAAGAATCAGACAGGATGAGCTTACAACATGAGATATGAACACAAAGCAGAACATGTTAAGTTCTAGAGGAGACAGTGGTACAATTAATACACAGGGAAATACTGCTCCTGGTTTAGGGTACAAGGGAGATGGCCATTAGGCTGGGCCTTACAAGACAGATGAGATTCTGATAAGCAGAGACTGAGAATAAAGTGAGTAAACAGTTCAGGCAGGAAACCAGGGGTTTGTTCAGTGAAAGGCAATTAGTTCTATCAGGTTAGAGAGCGTGTGTGAAGTGGACTTGTGGGAGACAATGGTAGAGGATGGGAGGATGGCAGATTTAGGTGATGTAGTAGTAGATGTAAGATGCTAAGTTTGGATTTTATTCTACAAGCAATGGACAGACACCAAAACAACATGACCAGAACTACTATTTTGGGAGAATAATCAATACTGGTGTCTAGGGATTTCCAGATACAGGTGTAAAATCGAAGAAAAGCTGAAAGTTGGTAAGGAGACCACAGAATTAATTAGGTAATAAGTTAGGGTAGTATCAATGGGTATCAGGATGCAGAAGCACAATCAAAAGTCTAGCAATATATTGCAAGTGAAGGGCAAAAGAAAGGAAGGAGCCAAAGTACTTGTATGCTTGGATGACTAGAAAGATGGTGGTGTCATTAATAAACTGGGAAACTCAGATGGAGATGTCCAGCTAGTAGTTAGAAACACCAACTGTTATTTAATGTGAGGGAGGTGAACAGAAATGTGATTACCAAAGGAAAGCAAAAAAAATAAACAGTGCTGTATAGTCCACAAAATGTTTTTACATGTATTTTCTTTTGCTCTAATAAATCTAGTGAAACACATTGTTAATAATCAACAGATGATAAAGTTGAAGTTCCTAGAGCTTCTTGCCCAAGGCCATTCAGAAAGTAAGTGGTAAAGGCAGACTCCAAACCCATTACTTTTCTGACACCAAATTCTGTTACTTTCCCTACATTAAATAAATTATGAGTTTTCAAGAGAAAGAAATACGGCAATGGGAAATGGCTACATTTACAAAAGTAGGGGAGGAGAAAAGAAATAACTAGAGATAGAGTAAGAATAATTAGAGGGTGCTGACATAGCAGTCTAAGTAAAAGATAATTTCTAGAAGTAGCTGGTTGGCCTCAGTGTGAAAAGCCATATAGAAGTCAAGGACCAAGAAAAGGACACTGGGTCAGGCAATTCAGGAACCAGTGACCTCAGAGAACATTTTCTGTAGAATAGAGACTGAAGCTAAAATTCACAGCGTTAAGAAGTGAATGAGTAATGAGGAAATGGCACTGGTAGGAGTAGAATGCTCCCTGGTT